TTACATGTTTAAATGAGAAAACGTGCATGCGACTTGCAACTTCACTAAAATAAATATAGATAGTTCGTTTCATGATTACTTTATTAAGAAAATTTCAGTTCTAACAAAATTAAGTTTTCTTCTCAATGCAACAAATAAATATTATTTGAGCACAAGAGAAATTTATTAACAAAACATAAAGACGTTTACACTATATTTTACCAAATAACATTGTTGATATAAATTTCAGTTTCAAGAATAAATAACAAACTAATTTGAATAGAGATACTTTGTTTAAAATATAAGCATGTAAAAAATTGATTGCTATTATTATAATGTGAAAATATAGTCACACCATTCAGATACATCTAAAGATTTTTCACTTTTAACTAACAGACGAAAATTGTACAAAAAAATAACTCAAAAAGGATGTTCAAAATAACAGGGATAAAATAAACACCCACTCGACAAAACTAAATTTGTAAAATAAATAAAAAATACTAAAAAATTCATAACAAATGAATCCCTTTCGAACATAATCAGATTGTTAATGATACAACGGTATACCATTATGTAGATATAACATATCTACATATAGTCAGAGAATGTGAATCAATAAAGACTGCTCTCAATACTTAAAACATTCTCTCCTAAATGTAAAGCGAACTAATAGCACATACTTACTTAATTAATTGGTCACTACAGACGTGAATCGTTCTTGACCACATCGAGTAGCCTGTGCCAGCCAGATTAGGGACTTAATGTCGCCAGATGTCCAAAATTATTGATCATCTGGTCCTTCTACCAAAGACGTCATCTACCGTGTTTTCCACCTGCGGGTACCGAATCAAACACCTTTCTAGCTGGAGCACTTTCTTCTATTCGATACTAAATTTAAATGTACTTAATTATTCCAGCTCATGCAGCTCGTTTCATCTAATTCGATATTCGTTCCCAACGCGTAAGGGATCATAGATCTTCTGAAGAATTTTTCTTTCGAATACTCCTAACGCCTTCTTATAACGGTTGGTAATTGTTCAAGCTTCTACACCTTACAGTAGGACCGGCATTGTAAGTGATTTGTAGGATGTGATTTTTGTTTGTCAAGAGAAGCTTTATTTCTCAATTGTTTACTTACCACGAAGTTAAGTAAAAGTGTTTCTTCGTTGAATATCTAGGCTGACGTTATTTTTGGTGTATACGCTGATGTCTTATACATAGACAGAGTTTACAATAGATAATCCCAAATAAACAAAGTTTTTCACAACTTCGATTGTTAACAGTATCAAAACGCTCAGGAGATTTGTTTGTTAACAGAAAATACTTTCTTTATTAAAATATTTCGAATATTTCAATTACGTATAGCTGCATATAGCTCGACGTTATCTTAATTCAACGCTTATTATAGTAATAATTATTTACTATTATTATTATTTACTATTCGACTGTAATTTTTTAATATAATATGGTAAATTCTCTTAATTTAATCGGCATTTTTAATTATTACAAGCATTGTAATAGTTTTGTTGACTGTTTATGGTGCCGTTAACTAGCACTTTTATTTTTTAATTCTAACGTTTTCTTAACATTTTTGATGATGTTAGCTAATATCGTGTTTGTAGATGTTTTTGTGTAAATATTCTTGTGTTCATCTTTAGTATTTGTTTTAGCCTCTTTTTGGTTCTGTTAGGTAGCACTTTTAGCTTTTAATAACTTGACAAGTACGGATGTAGTGAAAACTTTTTATTGATAACTAATATGAATTCAAGTTTGTATTGTGATTTATAACCAGTGTTACATTTGCTAGGTATGACTAAATTACTTTAGTAAATATATATATTGACGATTTCTTATAATTAAAAATGCAAACTTCGTATTCTATATTGCTAAGCAATCAAAGTCATAAAAAAACGTAATTTTTTTAATTGTATTTCATCGCTTTAGTTTCCGCATATATTTTACGCTATTTTTGCTACAATTCAGTATTTATCATTCTCTGTATAACCAATTGAATTGATTACTTCTGCAAAACTTCAATAATTTAATATAATATTCTGTTTACAAAAGCACGTCATAGTTTTTAATATCTCGGAAATGTTGAATGAACATAGAGACTTCTTTAATTCACACATTTTTCTCAAAACCAGTTGGTTCTCATCCACAAACATTTAATTTTCATTCAATTTTTCTATATTAAGCTCTTATAGCTTTAACAATATTAATATTGAATCACTATTTGATATTTCGTTCGTTTATCTTTGTAATTGATTTATAA